TTTTATTTAAAGGGCTCACGCTCTGGCAAAGGGCGGGGAGCGATGAAGGACGTGCTGTCGGAGCCAACAAGGACTTCCACATGAACCAATATCGCTGACGCCGGTTGCGATCACCCATAAAGTTGGCAAACCTTTCTCTGAGAGAAGTTTTTACCCGCGCCTGCAAACACCTTGCAAACCAGGTTTCCAGTCGATAAGTTCGGCGCTTTTGCACCGACACACACCACTTTGTGAAGTACTCACCCCTGAGTCTCATTTCAAAATTCAACGACACCGCATTTGTCACCTTTGAAAGTTGCTTCATCCCCCGCTGCCGCAATTGTCGCAGAACGTACTGACGAGGGAAGTATTCCCGGTGATGTGCCCAAGACCAAAAGATTTTACGTGCGGCGTGCAAGACACCAAAAGTCGCACACCGTCCAATCAGAGACCCTATCCGAAAGGAAGCCCCATTGAAGAGAGCGTTGTAATGATCCCTTTGCGCCTGACGCACTGTCAACGCGTGCTGACGACAAGCCCTCAATTTTTCTAACAAAACGCTCAGGCCAATCTCACGGTTCTTTGCATGTTTATCGAGCGCGTTCTTGCCTTCAATAATTGTGAGGTGCACCCGAACTGTCTCTGAAGCAGGCGTAGACAGTTCACGCTCAGAGCCCAACTCATGCACCAAAGACGTTCGCATAAGTTCGAACTGCTGCAGAAGGGAAATGGGTCGGAACCCCGTAAAGTATCCGGGTCGATGCTTTCTACACAATTTATGCGAGTCCAAATAAATCGGCCGACGCCCAAACAGTGCCATTTCGCGCTGTGTGCGTTTCCATTCCGCCGCATTCGGGGGCCCAATTGCCTCATCCGCGGAAGGGCCTCTGACACGTGTAATGATAGATTTTGTCTCGGTTGAAAACACGGAAAGAAGTCCATGGTTCCGTGCCACCCAGAGTTGACGTCTCGGGTGATCAATAAATAAGCGCACAATGGGTTGTGAATGCATCTCTAGAACATGTCTTCGAAAGACTATGTCAAAATTAAACGGGGTCCTTCCCACAATTACACCCTCCTCTTCCAATCGGCCGGGGCCAACTCGTTGCTCTGACACATCTACACGTGCTTTGGGCGAACACTGCATATTCATAAGTGTTCTCTCAACAGAGACGTAGAATTGAATCCGCTCAAAAACACAAAAGAGGGCACGCTCCTCGGTTAAAGAATAAAAGCTGTTGGCTAACTCCCGGCGGCGAATTTCCTCCTTGGTAGGCTGCTCCAGGAGAGAATAATGAGGTTCCGGTGGGTCCGGCAAACGGCGCATCGTCACGGTAATGATGGGAGGAAGATCCACGGCAATGCCTGTTACAGTAACCCCATCTATAAGAGAAATGTGAAATTTTGCATTACGACTGTACATGTCGTTGATATATCGGTGACCTCCTATCCACTCTTTAAACTCCGCTTCCTTACCTGCACGAGCGGAATGGGTGGCGTCGTATGGTGAAGGGTGTCGGGTTGGACTACGACGGCCAGATGAGGGGGATGAACCCGAGTTAGAGATTCTGGGAGAGTTCCACTGCACTGTCCAGTTGGTTTCTATTTCGGGCATACCCCGTGGAACCCTAAAAGGGCTCCTGTTTGCACTGCCCGCAGATGAATGCATATTTAACGATTTGTTCACGCAAGCGGTCGAAAAGTACCCACTATCACCAGTCCTCGTTTTCTTGACATCAGAAACGCCCTCCAAGTCCCTGGAAGGTCTCTGTCGCGGACATTTGGAGGTTCTTCGGAGGAGCTGCTTCTCAGTTGTCCGCGGTGTTCTTCGACCCGTGGCGAGTGGAGTCAAATTGCTGCGTGGCGACCTAACAGATTGACAGAGAGACTTCTTCGCCTGTGGTGAGGTGCAAAAATAATTATTGCCTTGTCTTACTCCTTTTACAGAACTTAAGCCACAGCCTCCGATTCTAACCGGCGCGGCCAAATTATAGCCTTTTTTGACCCTATCAGCTGTAACAGAAGACATCGGGGACAAATGAGGGGCCCGTAAGGTAGTTATATTTGATTGTTTCACTAACTGCACGCCGGGCTTATTTAAAGACGGAGGTTTACTGACGCGTCTAGTCGGAGTTTTCACCCCCTTATCCGCGGCCGTGTTTCGGGCCTTTACATGCTTCTTTACGTCACCTGGCGTACGTGGTGAGGGGACGGATGATAACTGCTGTTCCTTGCCGGCCGCTTCGCCTCCTGCGTGTTTCTTCGGCCTTTTTCCTTTGGTGTCACGCTCCGTATGAACACGAGGAGAAAATTCTCGGCGCCGGGCTGTCAACTTCCCTCCGTCATTTCTTCTCTCTATGGAGCTGCGCGCCGACGTTACCGCGGGCTCCGCCGGGTGTCTCCTGCTTGAATTCAAAGAGAGGTCAAGGCTGCGCAAGGGACTCTGCCCGGCGCGGGAATCACGTGAAGCGGAAGCCGTGCGGGATGTAGAGCACACGGAATGAATCTCGCTCGTTTCCCTTTCAAGTTCCTCGTCCAAATTCCAGAAGTGGACGGTCCCATGAACATCACCAGCAATGATGAGGTTGACACGCCTGCGCTGATTGGGCTCAGGTGCAAGGGGCGGCATCAGTTGCTCTAGTTCCTTCTCCACCTCTCGCATATTCTCCTCTGATAGTCGAAGCATCACGCGATGCTCCTCGCGCTTCTCCCAGCGAGTTGTTTGCTGAATGGCGCGGCGATTCTTGATGAGCTCCGACGCTGTATCTTCCTTTGGGTCGCGTGTCATGGCCACCACGTCACGGCCTTTTTGATATCCCACAGTTGTCACTGCAGAGGAGACCCAGTTGAGTGTCCGCAGCCCACCGACACCGCCCTTCAGCCGGAGTAGTGGCCGCACCTTCACTAGCGCGTAGGTTGAGCGGACGGTGCAGCCATGCTGATCCGTCGTGGGCTGGACATTAAACGTCACTACATCGCCCCCCAACGATACCAATGACGGCTCAACACCAAAACCCCCCATCCTTGCATTCTGTGATAACGCCCGCATCGCCTCCAAACGACGATAAATTTTTCGTACATCCCACACCACCACACAGGAATCCTCCGACGCTGTGCATACAAGGGAGAGATGCTCACGATCTTCTCGGCACCCACGCGACGTCGCGGCGGTAAGCTCAAAAATAGAGCTACTCAAGCGATTTGCGGTGACTAAATCGGTTGTCCCACTATCATCGTGGCAGGGACTACGCGTTATGGCAATGACAGCCCCCTTATGTTGTCTTGGTAACTCGTACACCAGGTCGGCCAATTGACCTCTCGCCAGCAGCACCGATCGATCCTGTTCCCGCACCCATCGAGAGTCAGCTGGAAATAAACGAATGGAACCATCCATAAATCCCACCCACACATAATCGGTATTAATCAGTGAGGACTCCCGCACTAAAAGAATATCTTGCGGATTCTCAATAGGAATTACTTCAAGTCGCCTGTTGATAAACCCACGAAATGGGGCATGCAACATTGAGGCCACCATGACACCTTGTTTTGGCTCCAAAATGCACATAAGCTTCGCACCAGAAAGAGCATCAATGACTGTGATTCCGCCCTCAACAGAGTTCTCAACCTTCCATATGGTGGGTCTTGGCACACGGTGTCCTTGTGTCTCACCGTCATATTGTCTGTTTGGCGAGACAGGGTCATCCGCGCGTCGAACATAAGAATGGCCCTGCTCGTGTAGTGTATTTAAACGTCTCAAGGCGCTCTTGACATCATTCAGGCGTGGCAAGGTGCGCACGTAACAAACCAAACGCGCTTGGAAGTTATCCGAGTTTAGCGGGGATGCCGAATCACATGTAAGCGCAATCTGGTCCCTACTCTTGACGGCCGTTTCTCGAAGCTCCTCCCAGCTCTCACTCCAGCACCGCGGATTCCTCACGAGTGACGGAGAAGGTGCCACGATGGTCAGTGCCATAGGCGTCTCGCAGCAAAAAAAAAAAAAAAAAAGTAAACTAAATAAAAAAAGACCAATCCACTGAACAATTTCACCGGACCCAATACCCCAGTTCCCCCTTCCCCCCTCAAATATCCGCTAGATGAGGCCACTAAACTGTAAAAAAAAAAAAAAAAAATCAAAAGGGGGAAAAAGCCAAAAAAAAAAAAAAAAAAAACGGAGAAGCATACATGCCAAATGAGCCCCGGACGTGAGCAGCAGTAATGTGTAAGGGTTGAGATGCATAACAAGATATTGTCTCACCGCCACGCTCCAATCTCCTTTAAAATTTTCTTCTTTTTTTCCTTTTCTCTTTCTCTCTGAATTGATAGCGAATGTTAGCTACCACTATCTGCTTTACTTTTTTCCATGTCTCTTCCTTTTCAGTTTTTTGGTTTTCCTCCCTTCTGTTCATTCCCTCCTTCTCTCCCCTCAACTCTATGGTCTTTCTTTTACTCAATAATCCCCGTTGGGAGTTCTGATCCTTCACTTTCTCTATGGATAAACTAACTGTCGTCTGTGCTCTTCCTTGGAGGAAGGAGGGTGGCTGGGCGCGATTGGCTTGCGGCGGCGCTGGTGAGGCGTGTTGACGATCTAATCGTACTCCTGCGTGGCGATAAAAACCTCATCATTATCGAGGTCGGCCGCCAACGAAGAGAGAACTGTTTCCTGGGTCGCTGTGGGCGGAGCTGCTGCTGTCGCCGCCGCCGCCTTTGCATGCGACCGCTTTAAGCCTCTTGTTGGTCGAGCACTCGTCGCCTCCATCGACTCGGAGATTGACGATGCCATACTCGGCACCACCTCCTCCTTATCAGGACGTACACGCCACCCGTCTTCAGTGATCACGCGACGGGACGCCACCGGTGCCTTCCCCGCAGTGCGGCGGCCGGATCGGGACCTTGAATTGAATTGACTTGGCGATGTCAACATATTCTCTTCTTCTTTTCCTTCTTCCGTTGCTTCTCGCTGTGAGTTACGCGGTTGGAGTGTGTGCTCTCCGCTGGCCTCCATAATTTCCGACATCTTTTCTTCCCGCACCCGCTTGGCACGCCGCACGGGAGTCGTAGCGCCCTCGGCCTCCTCCAACCGCGCGGCCCGACGGATGGCTGAAATGAAGAGCTGTGCGTTTTGATCGGTGCTCTTCGCCAGGGTCTCATTTGCTGCCAGCGCATGCGCCAAACTCAGTGCATCCATCTTGAGGAGTTTCGGGCAATAGGTAACAACGGCCTGTAGCATCGCCGGGTCCGTGGTTGTGGCAAACTCTATGCCAAAACGGACCATGCTGACACATGCCGCGTAGTACTTATCGGGAAGAGGCCAGTGCATGGATGAGAGTTTCATTCCCATCTGGTAAAGCGCATCCGAAGAGTGATGGTACGTCGCAATAAGAATAGACTTCTCAAGTGTAAAACTGTCATTGCAGCGATCACGCAGGGAACGAAACAAAAATCTAAAAACGTCGGAAACAGACTTGGTGGGGGCATGTAGCCACTGCAGAAATACACGAGGAGCCACATCCTCCGAAAGGCGGTTTAGCATCAACAGACGCGCGACACCCGTTGCCACACGCAACTGGGACGCCTCAAGACGTGATACTTCTCGACGTGACCGTGCGACTTCACTGAGCGCGCCCCCCTCGCGAAAAAGCTCCCCGGCGTTTTTGAGTTTCTCCTTCGCTTCACGCATTTCGTTGCCCAAAACACTTGACAACTCACTGAACTTTCCCAGAAACACGTCCTGCTCCATCTGAGACATCGTGTAGCATCGCAACGCACAGAGATCGCAGAGATAAACCATACTATCCACGGGAAGCAAAGTAAAGTTTTCAGTTTGTCTCTGAGAGTCCATTTCCCATACTTTGAAGATGCACGTTACCAATTCTCCAATCATTTGGCTGGCTGTCGTGGTGGCCTCCAACGAATCCGCCGCTTCCTGTTCCACCTTTAACTGCCACAGAACACACCGCATGCAGGTGGATAAAATCAACCGCAGCAGCTCTGGTGAGGTGCTCGCGTTGGTGTACTTCAGAATAGATGCCTTCAATAAATCCCATTGATCCACCAGCGAAACAATGGACGATAGAATACTCATTCGGCCCCACACATGAAACAGTTCCTTTTCCTCCAATTGACTCTCGGACCTCGTTTTCCCCTTCTGCAATGCAGAGAGTTGCTTCAGGACCTGCTTCAACAGTTCCTGTATCTGGCCCTTCGCCGCACTCTTCAGAGGATGATCCTCAACAACAAAGCCAAGCCATGCACACGTTATCTGGTTAAGATGTGCCTCCTCACAGCGCGGCAGTGCGGCAGTGGCTTTGCGCATCAGCGTCATGAGTGCATTAATCCGTGCCACCTGCTCCAAAGAAGTAAACGCCTTGAACTCCATCGCTGCAATCACCGCAGAAACACCAGACAAAATTACCACATCACCGCGATGTTTTTCAAGAACTCCATCCAATAAAACACCCACATCACGACTTAAGGACGTAACAAGTGCGTCAATGACCTCTTGCTTGTTCGGTGGAAGTTTTTTAACGATGCCCTGACGGCGGTCCTCCTTTGGAAGGGGTCCGAGGTACAACTTACAGCGCAACTTTTCAAGTAACGCGGCCACAAAGCCCAATCCCACCACCACCTCCAAAGCATCATCTGACAAAACAAAATCCAACATTGAGCCGTAGTTCTCCAAGAAAGGAGGCAGCTCTTGAAGAGGATTGTAAAGGGCGTCAATAAGGTAACGCTCTGGCATGACCTCACCGTACTGCGATCGAAGAGTCGCTGAAAAGGCGCATAACAACTCCATCGCAGCTTTCTGGTACGCAACACCGTTTGAGGCATCTTTGGGTACACGAGAGTCTATGAAGGCTCTAAGAAGTACCCCAGCCTCATGACGTATGCTTGGGCGCTCGTCAAAAAGTGTCAGCAGCACACGATCAATCATCTCATTGTCAAGTATTTCTTTCCCCTCCGCCTCCTCGCCGTACACACGAAGAATAAGAACCATGACGCGAATTGCCAATTCCGCACATCGCATGTTGACATCACCACACATCTCCACAAGCCGACCTGCAAAAAACTGTAGAAACAAAAAAATACGGTTCCCACTCTCTGGAGTCGCCACAAGACACTTCTGAATCATTGTTAGGGCTTCCGCACGAATCTCGGGTCTTTTATCGTACAGAGCCATACCAAAATATCGAAAGTACTTGTTCTCTGCAAACTCCTCATCATAGTTGAGAATCCACTTCCCCAATTGCTCAAACACCAAAAGTCGGATTTCAGGTGCAACATCGCGAGGACGTTGATGTATGGATTGAGAGATCACATGATTACGTAACTCCACCATGGTCTGAATGCTTTCTTGTAGGGCATTCAATTGCTGCTGTTTGCCCCGCCCTCGTGACGGCAGTCGATGATTGAGGTCCCGAATCAGGCCGTTAAGAGCCCCAACAAGGGCAAGAAGGGCAACAATGGATGTGTGACGGAAACACCGCGCTTTGCTCTCACTCATGGCAATAAGCCACCGCAGAAGCGTCGAAAGAAGCAGACCATCAAGAAGAATATTCGCATTATAACCAAACTCCACAAGACGAGCAAAAAAACGACGATATGCAGTACGAAAAACACGATATTTGGTTTCCTTTCGCACAAATGGATACGCTGAGGCATTCTGTTGGGTCCGCGCGTACATCTCCTCCAGAAGTGTCGTGACGTCCGCGTCATCTTTAAGTGCATTCCCGTCCAATTCTACCTGAGCCGCACCTGAGGCTTTCCCCACAAGATTCAGAATAGCACAGCACACTGTCTCTTTGCCGCCATCAGAGTAAATGCGGACAAGATCCTTCACCACATGATCGGCTGATGCTCCCTCCATAAGCGCCTTATAAAGCGATTCCCCGAGTGAACTGCCTTCTTCCTGCAGCAGAACGGGTTCTGCAGCGTCAGGGACACCCGACCCCCGCGCGGCGTCCGTATCAGTTGGCGCAGCAGCCGCTGTTACAGTTGCTCCTGGGGTAGCAGCCTTCTTCGTCTTGCGTTTTCCAGCCATTGAAAGGAAGTTTTGTGCACTAAAAAAAAATCTGTTCCTTTTTCTCTCTTTTTCGTCCTCTTGCCGCGTTTTCCCCCCTTTTTTTTTTATTTATATGTGCGTCCTCCAATTGACCCCGCCGCCCGAATGCCCAAACAAACAAAAAGGAAGGAAATCCTCCGGAAAAAAAACAAGTAAAAAAAACACAGAAAACAAAACAAAAATACCTCAAAAGGACCGCACCACACTTCTTCTCCCCTAACTGCTCTTCACACCGGAGCAGATGCACAAAGTAGATATTGGAATAGTATGGGAAAAAGTCCACACAAATTGAACGACCCACACACAAAGATGGAACAATTAAAGAGAACAAAAAAACCTTGAAACAAAAAATCACGCCTACCCACTCACCCGCTAAGGAGCTCCATTAACGCGGTAGGCATCGCTGGAGGCAACGCCCCAGGTTGCGTGACACGCTGAATGGACGCTGGTGGTGCGGGCTCCTTTAGCAAACCGCTCTGCGCCTCCAGGGCACGGTTCATCATTGGAACGACCTGAATTGTGGGTAACGGAACAAACTCCTCATCCGGCGGGAGATCTTTCAGTGGCTCCGGTGGGATGAGTTGCGGGATGGGCGCTGCTGGCTCCTCGGAAGTCGCCTCCACGGTATCCGTCGCAGTTAGGGGTGGTGGATCTGCAACGACTTCATCACAGGGGCTACAAGGTTGTTCTTCCACCACTGGTTGGATCTCCGGTACCTCCTGTGGCTTTTGAAGCAATTCCGACACGTCAAACTCCTTAAACTTAGAAAAGGCACCACCACGCTTTCCCTGTTCATCCGTGCTAGAGACACTCTCCTTCGCCGAGCTGGGAGCGCGCTTCCGCTTTTTTGTTTCTTTACGTGGCATCACCGCTACAATTTTCTTAGGCCTTTTCCTTCCCTCTTTTTTTATTATTTTCCCTATCCTTTGGGTGCCAGCTTCTGAGTACACACAAACAAAGAGAAATGAGAAAAAAAAAAAAAAAAAAAAAACGAGACCACAGTGTTCTGCCGCCAAAGTTGCGCAAAAGTAGAAGATGATGATCTGGCAAATGCAAAACTGCGGAACTGAAAGCCCCACACACCTATTTGTTGCTATTTTACTCCTTCCGAGCTGCAGATTCGTTTTTATCCCCTCTAAATCGTTCAATATTTCATAAGCCCCATCTTTATTGTGTGCAAAATCCCCCAACGTTCAGTATATATATATATATATATATATATATATATATCCTGTTGGATACCCTCTTTTTCTTTTTTCTTGGGTTTCCTTGGAGAAGATGCCGTTTGGATGAATCACTCTGTGCACGCTCCGGTGAGAAAGTAAATAAAAAGAGGGAGAATGAAAGAAACAAGGGAAAAATATAATAATCATAATAATAATAGTAATCATAATAGCCTTCATTGGCATCCGTTGGCGCTGATCTCTCTCACTCCTCCACATCTAAGGAGCGTTCTTGCAGAGTTTCCTCCTCTTCAGCTTCCGGAGCGGGGGGAATGTCCTCTGGACGCATCTTAAAACCATCCAAGTACTTCCGCGCTGCCTCCTCCGTGAGAACCATGAAAGGTGTGCCCTTTCCTACTATGGCAATCGTTGTATTCTTTATATTTAGCTCCGCGCCTCCCGAAGTTGCCGCCGCAAGTGCCTTCAATGCATGCATAATAAGCTCATCAAGGCCACAGTCTGGGAAGGATTCAAAGTGCTTTTCCAAATATGTACGAGCAGCCTGTGAGCGCAAACCCATGGCCGTTGCCTTAAAGTCAAATACGTCTCCAGATGGGACTGTATGATACAAATGAGGCCCCGTGCTGTCATAGCCAGCAATTAAAAGACCCACACCAAATGGCCGCTTCCCTGCAAACTGAATGTGGCGCTGATACTTCTCTCCAACAATTTCCGCTATGAGCGGCAAAGGATTATCGCTGTCGTGCATATAGCGATAGTTCATACATTCTGTGCGCACGAAGCGGGCTAACATGCGGCCGTCCGCGACAAGACCCGCTATTGCCATACCGACGTGATCATCCAACTTGAACACCTTCTCCTGGTAGGACGAAAACTGCGCCACTGGGCTGCGCTTCAGGGCAGTCAAGACAACAAAATCTTTATTCTTCGCACCAACCGCAGCCGAGCCGTTGTTCACCGCCTCATTGGCGTACTCTACCTGGAACAGCCGGCCCGTGGGGCTCCACGTAGTTGTATTGGTGTCGTACTGATTTTTGAACATACCACACTCCCCTTTTTCCCTTCTTCTTCTTCGTTTTTTTTTTTTTTTTCCTTTCTCTTTATTTGCTTTTCTTCTCTTCCCCCTTCTGTTTTGTTTTATTCCGTAACTGACAGTCACTCTTTTATTGTTTGTTGTTGTTGTTGTTGTTTGTAAGGATAAACAAGAGATACCACAATGTATCCCACCCAACATTAAATACATACAGAAAGAGAGAAAGAGAGAGCGAGAGAGAGAGAGAGAAGCAATGAGGCGACAGCGGCAGTGAGTCCCTTCAAGAAATTTATGACTGCACACGAGCACTCGTCCCGAATGCATAAAGAGCAGCGACATTACCGCCAAAAAAAGAAAACATGTCGAAGAGGTAAACAAGAACGCCGTAACTTTGGCACTGGAAAGCAGTCAATGTAAAAGCAATCTGAGGAGGAGGAGAAGGAGAAGAAAAGAATAAATTCAAGGAAACAGAAATAAAGGCAAGCGAGAGACTCAACATTTATTTCCCCCATGGCCAATGACGGATACATCCGTCATTTCATTAAAAATATTCCTTCTATTTTCCTTAAATTCCTTTTTTTTTATTGCATTTTATTTTCTTTTCTCTCTCTCTTTCTTCCCGGCTTTTTGTTTTCTGTTCTCATCATCTCCTCCTCGAGTGCCATCCTTTCGACATGACTTTTCCTCTCCTTTTTTTTTTTCTTCTTCTTCTTCTTCTTTCTCTTCCTCCTTTTTATTTACTTCTCTTTCCTTCGCAGTGTTCATTCATTTTTTCTTTTGTGTGTGCATGTTGACTATTCCTTCCCCCTCCCCTGCTGTTTCGTTCCCTCCCCTTCCACGGGGTGACGCGCGCATTACGTGCAAACAACGCCCCGCCTTTCTATAACTCGAGTGGTGGCGGCGGGGCTCCTGCCAGCCGTGAAGAGGAGGGGCACGTAAAAGGATTTTGTCAACAAATAAACACACACACACACACACTCACATGTAAACAGAAATGGAGGTGGCAGCAAACAGGCTGATGACCGGTCGAGTGAGCCGCAGGGGCAAACAGAACACACACACACACACACACAGAATACAGATATTTATATATTTATGTGCCTAATCCGCACAAAACACCAATGTGCGCCCAAACACACACACACACAAAAAAAAAAAAAAAACGTACAATAAAAAAGAACACATTAAAAACAAAACCAAAAAAAAAAAAAAATCATTTGTTTTTCTCTCTCTTTTTTTTTTTCTTGTTGTTGATTGCTGATGGAGGGGGAGAAAAGGAGGGAGAAAAATTCATTTTAAATCTCTTATTTTCCGTTTTTGTTTTCTTCTTCGCCATTTCCACTCAACAAACGCCCGCAAGGGCATTCGTAAAAAACATATATATATATATTTATTTATTTATATTTATTATATATATGTTCATTAATTATTTTATTTCCCTCCGCTTCCCCCTCCGGTGTTTCACTAGTTGTGTCTCTGCGTCTCTGTGTGTGCATCGACATCAAAGCCACTCATTGATAGAAACGTGTGTTTTTCCCCCTCTCACTCTCCCTCCCGTGTGCCTGCTTACACTCACTCGATGCCATCAGGGCAGCAAGCCCAAGGCCGCCTTGCTAGTACGGCCTCCTGTTGTCAAACTGCGGCGGGGGACCGTAATTGCCTGGCGGCACACCACCCATCATTGGCATCGGCATTGGCATTGGCATTGGCATTGGCATCGCGCCGCCCATTGGGTTTGCTGGCCCTGCTTGAATCATCAGAGGGTCATTTGCACCCGTATGCAGCGGCCCCGCCCGCCTCGCCGCCTCCTTTGCCAATTGTTGGGCGTCCATCATGGACTTCTCCATGCGCGATAACTTTGTTGTGTATTCTTGAATGACCTGAATAAAGTACGGCATGGCGAGGTCCGTACGCTTGTTGAGCCATGCCTTTTCCATCACGACCTGTGGTGTGAGGTAGTCGTAGCATGTGTAAAGACACGCAACAAAGCACTCCGGGTGATCCACAACAAAAAAGTCCAGAAGATCCTCTACAATCTGCGGGTTGGCACTCTCGGCGGCAGTTTCAATGGCATCCTGGTAGAGTTTGTTCTCCTTCGCCACGGCAATGGCATGTGTAAATCGCTTGTTACGGCGATGGAGAAAAAGCGCAATCTTGCGGAACTCAAAAAGCTCCATCTTTTCAAGCTCAGCACTTAATTCTGCGGAGTCAAAGTTGTCAAAGCGCTCCACAGAGTCACGCAAAGCAGTGAAGTCCTCTTCCTCCATATATAGCTTGTTAATTGCCTCATTCACACGTCTGGAGTTGCGTTCCTGGGCAGACTCCAGATACTGACGAATAAAGTGCACAGGGGCGAGCTTCTTCACCTCCAGCAAGACACGCTCGGGGTCCAACGTCTTAAACATACTGGTGAGAAAGTCGTCAAGGAGTTGTGGATTGTTTTGGATGTAGAATGGGATGGAGTTGTACACCAAATCGCTGGATCCCAAATGACTCACAACAGTCTTGAAAACGTCATGATCCCAGGCATCGACGTGGTGGCGCATCATCGTCGTGGCGGCAGCAAGCCAATCCTCGTTGTTGACATGTAAAACTCGAAGCACCAACCACAGATGATACTCCTCACATGCAGCAATCATTTTATGTGTATTGATCTTCTTGGCGTGCATATTCACATGTTCTAATAGTTTTTCAGGCCTGTATTTCGCCAACAGAAGTCCCATTCCAGTAAAAACACCCATATGGGCCCCTGGTGTGGAGGATGCTGTCTTAAGCAGGGAGAGCAATTCTTCCCAAAGTCCATAACTTTCATAGCGATCCATGACACTTTGCAACATTTCGGCTTCTAGTACAAGTGGAACGGCACATATGTTGGCCAGTTTAATCTCATTGGCCTCAATACAGGCAATATTAACAGCTGTCCATGTCTTTCTTGACTGTGCCTTTTGCGCAGCCTCCACAGCCGCTGGTAGATTATTCATCCTCAACAGTGTCACCGCTAGTTTGGAAAAATTGGAAGCCAGCGTGTACAGCACCCGCGCGGAGTCATACAATCCTTCGTCGAAGCACTTATCTGCCACAGGTTGGATTTGCACATTGTGGGTCTCTTTTAGGAACTCTTCCAACTCCATCAGACGACCGGTCTTGGCATATGTAAGCACCAACGCCGTATCAATTTTGTTGTCCTTTGCACGGGATTCTTTGCGTGCCATGGTGAGGTATTTGATAAGATCACCAAACTGATTGTTCCTCTCCGCCGCCGCCGTAACTTCTTCCAAAAAGTCTGGATCCTTTGCTCGAATAAATGATTCAATCGCCTCATGCACCTCGTCTGCGGCAAGCAAATACTCCCCAAGGACTGACCAAACAGCGGGTATATCACACTTTTGGGCGTAGGAACGACCACGCGAAATATCCTTCAAATCCCGCAACAGCACCGTAGCGGCCTCCTTTTTCATGTCGTTCTTTTCGTAAACCGCAAAGGCCACTTCAGGCAACTCTGCGTTGCTGGCGATGCTGGCAACCTCCTTGGCGTCGTAATTCTCCAATGTTGACACATATTCCATCACCTTTTCCTTGCGAGAACGGATGGCGGTCATGATCAAAAGATTCTCCAAAAACCGATTTTTCCTAAAGCGACCCCGCACCACAATTTGATCCAGGATAGACGTCAATTCATGTGTCATCCCTGCATTCATGAATGCCCGAACTGTTGTGCTTACCTCCTCATCTACCTCAGACTCAGGCAGGGCGGTTTGTTGCACCGCTTCCACAAGTCGATCACGATCCTTGGTATCATTTTTCAGGGTTGATGCCCACAGTTGAAGATTCTTCTCCTGTACAAGATAGCGAGCAAGTTGTTTCCACATGCCATTCTTCGTGGTGAGCTCCACCAGCTCCTCACTGAGGTGGCCCTTGCGATAGGCGATGTAGGACAGATTCGGATCACGGTTCTCGCAGTACTTTCCAAGGACTAGTGGTTCGTAGTAGGCGTTTTCAAGTAAAAATTTATCAGGTTGTTGGTCGGTATCGACGTACAACTTTCCCACGGCATTGTGAAGGGCGGGATCCGTCTTCTTTTCCGCCAAACGGGCCTCCAGCCACCCTTGAATCAGACGCAGGCGAGATCGTTCTTCCACGGCTTGCACCAACTCCGCAATGGGGCACATCGTTCCTACAGCATTGAGAATATTCTTGATAAAGTCTTCTCGAGCATTGCAGTCGATGAGGGCAGCCACTACCTCAGGTGTCTTTCCCGGACTCCGACGCTGCAAGTATTGTTCAATAAGCGTCTCGTTGTCCGTATCAATCAAATACCGCACTAGCTCATCTATGTAGCCATGTTGATCACATACATTGATGAGTGGCCAAAGATTGGTCAACTTTTTGTTTTTCAAGTAGTTTTTCGTGCGCTCCGGATCGTAGCAGGGGCTTTCGCGTGTCATGCGCTCCAGTTCTTGTGCCTGACCCACCTCTGCTGCCGCCTCAATGTAGCGGAAGTGCACCTCCGGGTCGCGGGTGTATGGTACAATGGCACCAAGATAATAGTACAGGATGGGGTACAATTTTTGCTCAAGAAAGAGCTCGATAAGTTTGTCCGCTCCAAGAGCATCACTGTACTTCGTCGCCACCTGCACAATCACCTTAAAGTTCTCACGATGGTTCTGCAAGAGGTCCCCCAGGCATCGCATGCTATCGGCCTGACTGAGTTTTCCAAAGAATTCCAATATCCACTCCGGATTAAAGCTGCGAGCATGGGAGAGACAACGGCGTATGTTCGAGAGGTTGTCAAGGTCGGGGTCTTGATTCTGCGCCGTGACGTAGCACTCAATGGCGCGCTGAGGAAGTCCAGCTCGTTCACACAGAGGAGCAAGCTTCATGCCATCGTAATAGAGGCAAACACCACGCGCAAATATCTTCTCCGCCACAGAAGGATGGGAATGTTTTAAATTTATTTCCAAAAGTTTCGTCTGGAGGTCTTTTGTCGACTCGTCATTCTTCCCTCGCAAGACCTCAAGAATAAACTCCGTCGCCTGCTGAATCTGCTGAGCCGTCACAAACATATCCACCACTTCATTTGGGTCCACTACTGGGGTGTCACCCAAGTCACGATGGAGCATCAGTGCCAGGCTCACGGCATTCTGTGGATTAACACGAATAAAATTATTCAAAATGACACGCCAATCCGGTGAGAAATTTGACCGTCTGCAATATTCCACCGCTTTTTGTGTCTCATTGCGTTGCAAAAGTATATTCACCACCTTTGCATGGGCCTCAGCCTTGTAATACATCTTCATCGCCATTTCTGGTTCGGCCTGTGCCAAAAGATCGGCAAGCTCTTCGCTGGGCGTTAGTTTATTGGCCTCGTATTGCTGCTTTATGTAGGCAGACCCACCTTTCGGCACAACTGCACGTGCAAGTTCAACAGATTCATGCGCATTCAGTGTCGTCTCCGCAAGAACCATCTTAAAGTATGTCGATATGGCTGGTGGTTGTCCAGGGGCTGATGGATGGTGCACAAATCGTTGGAGGACTTCTGGTACACGCAAGGCGTTGTTAGGAGCCCGTAGACAGGCACGAATGGCTTCTTCAATATTCCCTACACGAAGACCGTTCTCCAATTGCATGCGATAGAGATCATCAACGCCTCCCAAGTTAGCAGAGCTGGCGATACGTACGGCAAGCTCCGGGTTTCTCATTTGATCCTTTACAAATGGAATGATTCCATTGTCATTTGGGGAAACATGAAAAACGGAACCTTGGTTGTTGACACAAAGCAGTCCACCCGTTTTTGTGTACAAGGTCCCACAGAAAACGATATTGGGTGTCACCTGTTGAGATTGAATGATGGTGCCGGTAAATATATCCATCAAGATGGCGGTTCCACGGCTTGTCATGATTGTCAGCAACTTGTGCCGGGGGGAAACGGTCAGGGCGACTGGAAAGTCGCCAGGTGGGAATGCGACATCCACCACCCGGCGGGGCATTGTGATATCCATCTTGGGGCTCGTGGGAAGTTCCATCAACTGCACTTTGCCACCTTCGTGCGGGGTGTTCCACGCCAGGCACATGATGTTGCATGCACGGGGCTCGGTGGGTGTATTTGTCGAGATGAATGTCCCCGCGTGGCCATCAACAACGCGACCATCACGATTCTCCACGCTGTACAGTTGTGTCTTTCCCACCATTCCCTCTGCCACTCGCGCCACACCCGACAACAACAACCACTTCTTCTTCTCGTCAGTGCAGTAGTTCAGTATCTGTACCGATGCGCCCATGTCCGGGGCGCGCTCAAAGACACGCTCCGGCGCGGCATCCTCCGCAGAGTCCAGGCTCCAGTGGTACACCGCAGTGCCGGACACCAACCCAATTGTTCGATCATCGACCCAGCGCCAAAAAACCACATCCTCGGAAAACAAAACCACCTTAAGCCTCTTCGCGGCAACCACGTCAAAGACTTGCAAATTACGACCACTGCGAAGCGCAAGGATCTTTGACTTGGGGTTCATTATGGCCGACTCCGCATCGCGAATGTTGTTCCGCATACTCTCACGTTTCTCCAAGTCCACAATGACAAGTGACGTCTGCCCATCCGGCTGCACATCGCGGAGGCAGACATACTTGTCGCTCTCCAATGTCAATGTCTTGAAGGAGATTGTCCCGGGCCGCAGACCACCGGCGACAGAATTCAACTGGAAAACCTCAGCTGTCGTCAAGGGGCCGTTCATTTTCTCCTACAAGTTTATAAAAGGTTTCTTTGTTTCGCTCTTTTTTTTTTTCCTTTTTTTCTTCTTCTTTGCCCTCTCTATTTCCTCCTCCTCCTCCTTGTTGTTGCTGTTTCTACCCCTCAAAAGAAAAAGAAAAAAAAAAAAACTTTGGCCTCGCTTCTTAGCCCTCCCTTCACTCCCCTCGCACAGTCACTCGCACGCACAGGACTGTCGCCTAGTGGAAGACCCTAAAGTGCAGATCTATCTCTCCGGCCCAAAAAAAATAAAATAAAATAATAATGTCAGGCAAAAAAGAAGAAATCCTTCTGCTTTTTTTTTTTCCTCTTCTTTTTTTTCCCCACACCTCACTCGCTATTGCGGATTTTGGCAAAACTACAACTGACCGCGCAAAAAGGCGGAGTGTGTGAGGTGACAAGAGCCAAAAAAAATAAAAATAAAAAAGGGAGGGAAAAAGGAAACGAGAAAAAAAAAAGCACAGCATGGCAGCTCACTCCAAAGGGCAAAGCGACACACACACACACACAGAGAGAGAGAGAGAGAGAGGGGAATGGTACTCCCACCACACGCACTGCTGAGCCACGCCTGCTGCTTGTCCCCTTTCATCCAACATTTGCAGAGGAAACAAAGAAATTAAAGGCATGGGACAAAACAATTTAAATTTAAAAAGGAGAGAAAATAATTTTTAAAAAAGTGTTGTTTTCCACCTCTCCTTCTGCTGTCCATTCATCCTTTTATTTATTTATTTTTTTTCCTCTCCTTTTTTCCTTTTTAGCGGTCACGGTGGACTCTTTTTCACTTTGCTCCTTTTTTTTTTTCTTTTCCATTTTCTTCTTTTACCCCCTCTCTCCTCCCACCCCCCAAAAAGAAAAAAAAAAAGCGGCAGCGGCAGTCTGCCCACCTGTCAACGGGGAAAAATAAGAATAAAAAAAAAAAATTTTGTCAGAAAACAAAAGCAAAAAAAAAAAACGCAATGCCCTCCCTCCCTCCCCTTCCCCCTTCCCCCGCCTCGTCTCACTGGACCCCCACCGCACACATAAATGCACATGCGGAATGGAGAACGCCGTAATGAAGACTGAATGGAGGAAAGGGGTGGGGGGTGAAGCAAAAAAAGAAAAAAAAAAAAAAAAAAAAACGGTAGTGATAGCAGTAGCAGTAAAAGTCGTTGTGGTGAAGGCATCGTAGTCCATGTGCCTGCGATGTCATGTAAATGCGTGTCTGTTTTTCTTTTTAAAAAGGGGAGGGAAGAATGAGAACGTACTGACAAAATAAAACAACAAAAAAAAATTGACAGTAAAAAAAAGAAAAAAAAAAAACAGCACTTTTTGTTGAACAAGAAAAAGGATACAAAAGGAAGGAAAAAGCGAGAAGAAAAAAAAACACACACGAACACACCGGAAGGGATGGTCTCAACAAAAAAAAAAAAGAAGAAAAATGACACATTCGGTGTTTTTTTTCTTCTTTTTCTTGTTTTTTCCTTCCTTGTCCACGTCAGTCCACTTCCCCACCCGCCCACCCACCCACCCAGAGTCTACCCTTTATTCAGCGTTCAGTTCATCTCGCTCTTATCTCCATAAAAAAGTACATTGGCTTCACAAAAGCCACAGAACATTGAGACGGCATGCAAAGAAAGCAAGCGAGAGAGAACAGGCCACCCTGTTTCACTGTATATATAAATGCATATATACAGCTCTGCCCTCAGCAGATTAAAAAAAAAAAAAAAAATCACAGACAGAATAGAAGAAATCGATCAAGCAACCCCTTCAAATAAAAAAAAAAAAAAAAAAAAAAAAACAAGCAAGAGATCTCGTATTACCAATAGAACCACAGACATCGTCTTATTTCCCCTTTCCGGAATTCCTTTTGTACACTGACATTTATGTATTCTTTTTTTTTTTTTTTCTTCTTCTTCTTCTTCTTTTTGCCAGTTGGTTTATTCCTTACTGAAAATGATCGACTTCCAGTATAAAATTTGAATAGAAATAAGACACTGTACTCCTGTGCGTATGTATACACATATATACATAAATAAATACATGTATATATGCATATCCATATAAATATATATATATATATACATATATATATGGATATGCATCATGTTTCTGTGTGTATATAGATGCATGCATCTCCCTCCTTCTCTCTCCTTCGCCATTTCTGTGTGTCTTTCAAGCCTTTGAAGCAAAATTTCTTTTCGTTTGCATCTCTTTTTTCGACTGCCTTTTTCTCTTTCTCTCTCTCTCTCTTTACTAGCCTCTTGCATGCCATCGTTAATGAACGCATCTCACTCTAGTGAAGAAGTTTATGCAACTTCCATCTCGTTCAATAAATATTTGCCCCTCAATTATTATTTTTTTTTTCCCCCCTCTTTTTTTTTTTCGTTTTTTCTTTCGTCTTCATTTATTGGATTCCTTTTCTGTGGACTTCCTCCCCCTCCCCTCTTCAGCCGCCAACCACCCGCTCGTCCCTCGGCGCGGGAAAAAAAAAAAAAAAAACAAGTCACGGTTGAGAGTCAAATGGGGAAACGACCCAACAGCGGCGAGATATTGCCTCCTCCTCCTCCTCCTCCTCCTCCTCTTCGGTATCACTTCTTTTCTCTTCCTTTTTTTTTTTTTCTTGTCATCATCGATTATTCCAATTTTTTCTTCTTTCTGTGTGTCTGCGCATCTTTCATAAATGCTCCTTCATTTGCCCGCCTGCGGATGTGCCACGCGCCCCTCACACACCACAACCACCCGTCACGCTCTACGTGGGCGGCATCACTGCAGGGGGCACCGCTGGGGCAAACGAAGGTCGTAGTCGGCAAAATAAATGGGTCCATAAAAAAAAAAAAAAAAAAAAAAATCAAAAAAAAAAAAAAAAAACTACAACAACAAAGAAT